AGTTTAACAGAAAACCTGTCCAGGGCCACTCTGTGATCCCAGTCCCGGGCCGCTTAGCCATCCCAATCCGCCCCTGAGGATAGTTCTAGAAAATAGAGGGCATGAGAATATTCACGTGATCTCGATGACGCAACAGTATGTAGATCGCTCATGAAATATGATCAATACTGAACATATCGGATTTCCTACATATGAAACTCTGTAAAAACTACATAAGCACATATATCTCATTTTTGTTTAATTTTCAGCAATCTAAACACTTTACTTTTTTATATCAAACGAACAAAAGAAAATGTGATACTATTTTAAGTACCACAAACTTATATTATAGTTTGTTTGAATTTATGCACAAATCTACACAATGGGCTATCGAAACCCGGTTTCTAGCGTTGTAAGTCCGCAGACATACCTCTGTGCCACTTCAGTTTGTTTGGAGCAACATAACACGTGATCTTAAATGTTTAAAAAGGGGAAATTTGTCACGTACATGTTTTGTTTTTTAAGTACTGCTCCGGCTTATTATAAATTTTGTAACTTGTACATTAATATTTTCGCATTCCACCGACATTAGCTACATGGCTCCACGTGCCACATACGTGTGTCATGACTTCAGAATCTCTAGTCTATTTTGAAATTCTATTATTCTATAAAGAATCTACTCCCACTGTTGGCAGAAAACAATGTAAACTAAGTAAATGATCAAACCTGAAGGAACAATTGGAGAATCTTCTTTCCAATTCATTGTAATATTGGTCTGTAAATATATAAATCATTGAAAGGAACTTCTTAGTGGACTAAATATATTAAATGTTTCTATACCTGCATGGATTCAAAACTTTACTTTCAATTAATTAATCGCAAGTCGTATGTGTTATGTATTGATTTTTTTAGTAGACTTACGTTGAAATGGGGCTGTATTAAAAATATCTTTTTTATATTGCACATTCTTAATTAATCCAGTATATTAATTTAACTAGTTTGGTTATTCGATTAATATTTAGTTTGCTGTAATAGGTAAAGTCATGGCGCATAGGTAATTGCAGTGACTCTATACGTAGGGTTAAGTACGTCATATCAAAACGTCATCTGTCCTTACAGTCCATGTCCATTCATGCTCTATATGATGACCGTGCATGTTGACAATAGCCCTGCAGCGTAGTTTCCACTACAAAAAACTCCGTCGTAAGGCTGTCATGTTCAAAGCACAATACTCCTCCTTGCAAATTTCCCATAATCCATTTAGCGTACAAGGGTGATGATTTTCCAGCGTCCGTTTAAAGAGCCCGTTTGCAAAAGCGATAGGTCAAGCTACTTGACTGTAACCATTCGTATGGAATAGCATGAATACTCGTTTCATTCTCCAGCTGCTTCAAGTATTTGACGACTGAATGGAAGGTATGACTGGAATCGTCATCTTGGTGAACCCACACGGCGTTGGTCTCATTTCCAGGCAGAGATTCTGTTGGAGAATGTTGTATACTATTGCCTGTGCGGCTTTTTCCACTGGCTTTTGTGTTCGTGGATTCTCACCTTTTAATAGAAGCCGTACTTCTTCTGGAGATGACTTGTTGCAGGTTGATCCAGACTGCTGTATTTTTTCAATGCCACTAAAATGACTTACCCGCTTGTAAATTTTAATTCCCCAATCTGAATATATCTTTATGATCTGAATGTATGGATATCTTGTATCCTTCCCACAACAATTAATGTTTTGTGGCATCACACTACATACGCACGCTAAACAATGCCAAAATGTACTTCTGATACAACCACCCGTTCTATCGCGGCTTTATATTGACGTTGGTTATCAGATGAGTTGTTGATTTCCGTATTCAAAAATTATCTTAATATAACACACTCAACCTTTTGTATTTGGGTATTGGCTTTTACTTTTGATGTAGTTGAAATGTCATTTTCTTTGTTCGTTCGTGACATTTGGACATATAAATATAAGCTGGTTGCTATAGCAAATCTTTTTTTTTTTAATTTCATTGAATATCAGTTAATATCTTTCTGTTATGTATCATTATGTTAATACAGTGAGGTTATACCTAAGAACAGAATAACAAAGTGTACAACGCAAACCCATAAAAGTCGCACAAGTTTATGAAATGAAAGCGCATGCGTGAATCTTTAATAGCTCCACGTGCCTGGCTGTGATGAACACGACGTAATCGATTGTTAGAATAACTAAATAAAGAAAATTCTCATCGCCTTTATAAAATCCTTGGATTATTGACTAGTCACTATTATATCCGCCATGATTTCGTACAAAAAACTTTCAGTGGTATTTAGTTACACTCTTCGGATAGCAGTTCTGGTAGGTTGTTTTGCTGGGTTTATTTTTCAGGCTCTAGAATTTGTTGAATTTTACTATGAACGCCAAACAACAGTGGAGATTAAGATCGAACCTATTAAAAAGATATCCTTACCAGCTGTTACAATCTGCTTTAAGAGCAAGTAAGTATAAGTACTGAGATAAAAATATGCGTAATGAGACATTGAACTGGAGAGACTGCTATAATTATGACACTCTGGACGATTGTTTTGTTTTTAATTATGCACAAAGCTACACAAGGGCTATCTGTGCTCTGCCCACCACGGGTATCGAAACCCGGATTCTAGCGTTGTAAGTCCGCAGACATACCGCTGTACCACTGGGGGGCACACTCTGGACGAAAGGGAGTCAATATACATTAGTTGAACTAAGATGACATACACACAAACGAAATAAAAGAATTGGGAAATAAACGCCCGAATTTTTGACTGTATAATGAAGTTGTCCCAGCTTGTTTGTTTTTGAATTTCCCGCAAAGCTAGGGCTGTGTGCGCTAGCCGTCCCTAATTTAGCAGTGTAAGACTAGAGGGAAGTCATCACCACCCACCGCCAAATCACAGCTGAAAGGGCGAGCATGTTTGGTGGGACGGGGATTCGAACCCGCGACCCACAGATTGCGAGTCGAGTGTCCTAACCACCTGGCCATGCCGGGCCCTTGTCTCAGCTATTTATATTGTAATTAATTATGTTAATATATCACGGTTTCCATAAGTATAATTAATCTGAAATGTAATCACAGTCAGTAGTTCCTTGAAAATCAGACTATAAAGTTACAAATCCACCATGAAACATATATTTGTATATTTTCAGACATATATGTTTATAATGTTCCTAAATTCCCAGTCACCAATTTTGCTTCTTCAAATACACCTAATAAATCTAATTGTTTTATATTTTTACATTTATCTCTGAAGCAGATTTTTAGAGTTACTATCATTGAGGAGCAAATTGCTACAACTCAAGTTTTAAACAAGGATAGACATGTTTCTCTATCATATAGTTTTTGCTCCTCATTTTTAACTATCCATTGCTGGACATAAAATACAATTTAGAGACCTGTCTTTAGTAATCATAGTTTGATTTTGATGAGTTTCAGTCATTTTAACGGTCACTGTGAATGTAAAGAATGTGCTAGTTGGTTGGTATTGAAGTTATGTGTTAATTTTACTTTAGAAATCCTTAAAA